CCATTTTTATGTAAGTCAATGTGTTTGTTTTGAGTTAGTTAATTTAATTTTCTGTTTTTAATATTTGTTAATAGAGATTTAGTTATGTATTCATTTATATTTCTTATTAATAGTAACTACATACATGTGTGACATTTATGTTTTAAAATTAATTAAGAAAAGAAATAAATATTATATATAAATTCAAGAATTCATGAAAATTTTTAGTTATTTTTTAATATTATAACACATGGTCCACCTAAGGTAATGTCTATGTTGTTCTGGTATGATAAGATCCGTCATAAATAAAATAGGTAGCGTGTCTGTCTCGTAAGTTAAACGCATATAAGGACCTTTACGCACGAAAGCTCTCATTTGTCGTAAAGAGTCATAATTTTCGTCCACTCTACGCCATTTACCGACATGAACGATTCTATCTCCCTTAACTCGATCTACATAGTTTTCCGGACAGTACCAACGATTGTGATCATTTCACATTAAAAATATATGCAAGCCAACACTATTTTTTCAGAATTTCTGAATTACATTCATTTACAAATGTAAAGAAAGAGAACAGCTGATTTCTACGTTTTCACTACGGGCACAAATTTTGACAAATTTGTTTTGACATGGGCGATAAGTACGGGAAGGAGGAATGTCGGTGACTGTTTGTGCTATAAGGCAGTGATCGGCACGAGAGAAACTGTGACTGTGTAGGTGAGCACGAAATTGAAGACTCCCAATGAGAACTCTGCTACCTTAAATTTTGTTAATTTATTTCATTATTTTTTTAAACAATTGCTTTCATGCTTTCTGATTCATTTTATATATTGCACATATTAAATAACTACATTGGACCTAAACGGTCAAAATGTAATTCATAACACCACAAAGTGTTCATAATGCCAAAAATTTCGTGTAGGCACATTTCCTTAGCGACATGATCACACGAGACGTTGTTTCGCACGATAGAATGTAAGCGTGGGAAGTTACCTTACAGATTGTGCTATGAAATGCCGACCAGTGGTCTAAAGTCAATTTTTATCACCTCAGCCCTTCAGCCGTCAAGTAGGAGAGTACTTTAGCAGTACCACCGACTCTATTACTTTTCATTTCAAAATGCAACCTTAAAGACAATAGCAGTAATTCTCTGCATATACTCGTATATACATACATTTAATAATTTTGAATTATCATTTCAATTGATCTCATATGATATCTTTCAGATTAAATTATATTTCTTTCTCATATTTCTATTTGTGACATTGGCAATATATACATATGTGTGTACGTATATATTAGTTGAAAGGTTATGATTCTAGGCTTGATATTTATTATTCATTTCTTTCAGATGGTTCAAATTCGATGTTAATCCTTAACAAAACATGAAGACTGGACTTACACTGGAGGTTATTGGGAGCGAAGCTATGAAACTACATCCCAAATTTTTTAACGAAATGTGTAAACATGTGTACTAGTACTTGTGTAAAACTGTTACTAATGAGTAATGCTTATTTAGTTTAAAATAAATTAAAGGGTGTTTCAAAGAAGTGTGGATGCTTAATTTGAAAATGATCGTGTTCACCAACTTTTTGCTTGCGTAGTAAGATAGGAACACACTTGTGATCCACACGTCAATAGTAAGTGGTTATTTTTATTTTGCACGTAACTATGACCCGGAAATGTGATTTTGCAAATTATAAAAACAGTAATAATAAACCACAATGCGTGTTTTCACCAAACCCATTCCTATACACAAGAAAAGTTATTTGATCTATTCACAGCACAAAATGTAACACTCCGTTTCTACATTATAATATTTTTTAAATATTGCTAAGTCATTAACTAATCTCACTGAAAAGTGTATAAGTAAAGAGTAAGAAGAGAAAGTGAACGAAAACACTACACGTCCATGAAGCAACGAAATCGATTCTAGTGTCGAAGATATGTAGACATTAAACATACCCATTGTCCGGCAGAATCGGCAGAATCGAAAAATAGTTATTTCCGATTCCTACTTGAATATTAACATCATTTCTTTCAACGTCAATCGGGCAAATACAAGCCTTTTCAAGCTGGAGACATCAAATAAAATCTTTACGGAGACGGTTTTTAAGACAGTAAGCATTTGAAGTCGAATCTTCGGTTTCGTAAGCAATACACTGAGACAAGTGTTTTTGCTTCAATTTGTTATTGCTCGCACACATTTTCGGCATGATGTCGTGCGCTGATTTATCCAATGTCAATCACTCATATACAGAACTAGCACAAAAATATATACGAGGTATGTTCAAAGGAAAAGGTGTATTCTGAACTTTTTTTAAAAGTACTTATTTATTCATTAATATCTATTTTGTCTCCTTCAAAGTATCCCCACGGATATAATACATTTGTACCAACGCCTTTTCCAATCTTCGAAGCACTTCTGAAATGCGTTTTCCGGTATGGTCATCAACTTTTCTTTGATTCTGATTTGATCTCTTCAATTGAGGCAAAACGCTTTCCTTTCATTGGTTTCTTCAGTTTTGGGAATAGGAAAAAGTCGCAGGCAGCCAAATCTGGTGAATACGGAGGTTGAGGCATGATTACGTTACGCCAACATCCCTGCAACTTCCTAATAGTGATTCGACATTTTCAAGAACAATTTTTTCACTGTTTCGATGTTTTCTTCGCTTGTTGACGTGGTCGCACCTCCAGGATGCACATTATCATCAACATCTTCTCAGCCTTCTGTAAAGCGCTTGTACCACAAACAAACTGTTAATCAATATTGGCTTTTAATGCAAGCACATAATAAACATATGTGTCCGATTATAACAAAAAACAAAATAACGATAATCGAATGTACGCAAACGGGAAAAATCAAAACTCACTTTTTCTTGAAAACCAGGTATATGTATTATAAACAGATAATCTATTGCAATGTGAGACGATCGTTATTATCTTATCTGAATGCAAGCCATTTTTACACGCACACGTGGTTTGTTTATAAAAACTGGTTTCAAATATTAATGTTCTGAAATTTCTGAATGCAATAGCACTAACTATACCACGTAACTCAGTTTCCATTCTATTACATTAAATATTGGTAATAATTAATTAATGAATAGTTTACCAAGCTTTTAAAATTTGATTTCAAAATAAGTGCTGATTCATAGTCTATACAACAAAATATTTAGTTTAAAATTAGCACATAGCGTTGGGAAGGTTGATTACTGTGGAAGAAATTTATAACATACAGCCTGTGAAAGAACTGAGCTGCTCGACCTTCCCCAGCGACATCGCTTCGCTCTATGGGCTTTGGAAAAGTTCCAAGAACATCCGACGTTTTCGATCCAAATTTTGTGCATCGATTAGGCCAATTTCTGGCTCAATGGGTTTGTAACAACAAAATTGCCACATTTGGAACGAAGAGAAACCTAAAGATCTTCAGTAGCTTCCATTTCATCCAGAAAAAACAACGGTTTGATGCGGTTTGTGGGCCGAGAATCATCGGTCCATATTTCTGCAATATTGATGCGGGTGAAAAGTAACCGTCAGGGCGATCGTTATTGCGCCATGATAACCGACTTTTTGATTCTTAAATTTGAAGCTCGTGATTTCGCCGACATTTCGTTTCAACAGACGGCGCCACTTCCACACATCGCAACAATCAATGGATTTATTGAGAGACACTTCGGTGAGCAGACAATTTCACGTTTTTTGCCGGTCGATTCGCCACCAAGATTGTGTGATATCACATCGTTAGACTTTTCTGTTTGGATATGTAAAGTTTAAGCCCAAAGCGTGTCATTCGCCAGTTACCAGTCGAAGTGCTCGAACGAGTCATCGAAAATTGGACTCATCAGATGAACCATCTGAGACGTGGCCGCAGCCAATATTTGAAAGAGATAATCTTCAAAAAATAAATGCCAAAGAATGTTCTTTCGAATGATAATAAACATTCCCATTAGATTAAAATTTTCTTTTGTTTTACTTTAAAAAAGTAGAGAGCCTGGAAATGGATCACCTATACAAGTTGTCAGGAGTCAGCAAGATCGGCTGAGCCTGTAAACTACTCTCCGTTTGCAACGGCAATAGCGGGTGGCCTACGTCACGGCATTCCTCTCCTTCCTCCACGTTCACTGCACAATTCACCGTATTCACAGCTAACGGTAGGACAAGCGTTATGTTTGGTTTTGGTATAGCAGTTTAAGTGAGTACTCACTGGACTAGACAACACCATCCGAAAGTAAATAATATATATTAAATATATCAAAAGTTGAAATATTTACTGGCGTTCAACGGGGCCTACGTGCTGTGGAAGAATCTTGAGATTTTCAATTCATTAACGTCGAATAGAATAAACTATTTGAGTTTTTATACGAAGTTATGGTCGAATTGTAAAATAAATGTTTAATCTCTTCGACTAAAATAATTGAGGCTAATTGGTTATCAGTAGCTCGGTTTATCAAATTTTTGTTTAAGTACACAGTCACCCAATAAAGTCTACATCCTCCTGAAAAGTCCAGTTTTGAGCCATCTATACACAGTTAGAATCCGTATTTTCAAAAAAAAAGCATTGATGATAATATTTACACACAAGGAAAAAAGTCTATATACACCTTTTGATTTTGCGATTTTGATTTTGGAAACGAGTGCTTTTAAGTATAATATTTTAGTAAGTGATGGTCAATCGAGAATTTTTAAGGAAACCAAATACACTTAGTTTTGTTTTACACCGTAGATTGATTCTAGAAAAACCGTGTAAGAAAAAGAATTGATCCTTCCCCTAAATTTGTGCTGTTTACAATTGTTCTGACTAGTAAACTTGATTGTATCCACGAAACTGAATTCCTCTTAGTTTAAGATATGAACATATTTCGCAAAAATTTAATTTGACAATCAATCTTAAACGGTCAGATTGAACAAAGCATAGAGAGTGGTTTGATATAATGCCTCCAGACAACTAAAATTAGAACCACAGTCGCCAGACATAAATCCGATTTAACATATTTGGGACGTTCTTAAACCTTAAAAACAATCCTACCCAGCTTGGGCTAAAAATTCTTTCGATCTAACTGAAAATTTGTAGACTTCAATGCTCCGACGTCTCTAAACAGTGATTGCTGTCCAAGGTGATCATGCCAAATAATAAGATTCAAAAACAAAAATATTTTTGGAAGGAAATTTTAAAATTTTTGTAATAGCTGTATGAAGACTTTTTCCCTGGTGATTTTTTATGCTTTATTATACCCTGAACAGGGTATATTAAGTTTGCCACGAAGTTTGTAACACCCAGAAGGAAACCCTATAAAATGTACACATAAATGATCAGCATGATGAGCTGAGTTGATTAGCCATGTCCGTCTGTCTGTCTGTCTGTCTGTCCGTATGTCCGTCTGTCTGTATATATACAACTTGTCCCTCAATTTTATGCTTACAAAAAGTTGCATCTCTCTCTTTTTTGCAATACCAACCGTCTCACGGTACCAAGAAACATGTCTACCAAGTTTTATAAAGATATCTCAATTTTTACTCAAGTTAGAGCTTGCACGGACGGACGGACGGACAGACAGTCACCCGGATTTCAACTCGTCTCTTCATCCTGATCATTTATATATATATATAACCCTATATCTAACTCGATTAGGTTTAGGTGATACAAACAACCGTTAGGTGAACAAAACTATTATACTCTGTAGCAACAGGTTGCGAGAGTATCAAAATCATATATTAGTTGGAGATTTCACTATAAATTTAAATGATGTAGACTATCACTCATATCTACTATTATCAAGTGTTTTAGATATGAATTATGTACCGTTTTTTAATAATACCACCAGACCTTATAGTGAGGATTGATCATGTATAGATAATATGTTCGTTAAAACAAATATTCCCAACGTAAAGTCAATTACATATTGTATAAACAAATGATCACTGATCATTATATATTGTTTTTGTCATTAAATACGTATAAATTATTAAAGCATAAAGAACCTAAGAATTATCTCAGTTATAAAATACTGCAGAAAAATAGTAAAAATGTACTTTGGGAAGACATATTAAATATACAGGATCCAAATATTGCTACTAATAGTCTCATAGCTAAAATTTAAAATTTGATAAAAAATGCTCTTGTTAAACCAAAACACAACAAGCGTAAATTTAAACAGTGTAAAAATTGGATTACGATTGGCATAATGAAGTCATGTCGTACTAAAGAGAAGTTATATAATAAATGAAAAAAACTAAAAATAATATAGAACTAATAACAAATACAATACTTACTGTAAAAAACTAGACAAAGTAATGAAAATTACTAAGTGTAATTATGAGAGTAATTCGATAAATAGTAAATCTAATTGTCGTAAAGATTTATGGAATTACGTAAATCATAAATTAGGTAAAAATGAAAAGGCATCCAAAGATATAGACTACTTAATCGAACATGATGTGATGATCACTAACTCTGCAGAAATTGCTAATACTTTTGTAAATTTTTTTTAGTAATGTGGGTATAGATTTAGCTGCTAAAATGAAAAAAACAGATAACAGTACGATTTCT